TAAAATTAGACTAGCAGTAATTTTTTGTGCCCGTGAATAAGTTGTATTCCCAATCTGTCCAAAACTAAATTGTCTGTCCACCAACATCTCTTGAAAACATACATAGTGAATTGACCAACATAAAAACAAACAGGTTTTTTTAAAGGATGCTGAGAAATAAAATCTGAAATAAGGCTCTTGGGAGAGCAAGCCCATTGGTTTGACCATAGGAGGCAGAAAAATACAGATGTAGGGATAGCTATAACCTGTAGAAGAAATTATACATATAAATAGATATAACTTGTAGGAAAAAGAATTTGATAAAAATAAAAACCAATAAAGAGTTTAAAGAAAAGCCTAATTTTAATTTAAAATCCCTGTAAAGAGGGAAGCATAGAAATATTTCTTAATTACATAAAACTTCTTTCATACAACTTTCTGTGAAAAACCTATTAAAAACCTACATCAGTTTTAATCAATTTTAAAGGCTGAGGAGCAATTTATGCAGATGAACACGCAATGCCCTCACCCAGCTCAATAATGAGGCACACACACACTCTCTCTTAAATCAAGATAAAGATGTGGGATACAGGCTGTTGATCTTTGCCTAAGCTCAGGTCCCAGATACATTGCCCAACATGTGATAATGGACAGTACCTGTACCCAGCACTGAGTGCCAGAAGCACATTCTCCAAAGGGGAAATACATGCTGCAAAAGACTAGAGGTAGAAAGAAGAGGAAAAAAAATTCATTCTTAAATAGGAGTTACTTGACAAACAGGAGCAACTATGTTTACCTGCTTTTGATAACCTCTTAGAACTCCCAAAGCATTACATTGCAACACTACAAGGAAAACAAGACAAATGTGGGTATATTATATTAATATCTCATAAAAATCATTATTAAAAGCTGAAACAAAAAAACTAAAAAATATTTGATTTCTTTCCTGTGCTGAAGAGCCTCATAAATCTTACTGTGCTTCCTTTCTGACTATGGAAAATAGGGTAATTTTATTCAATTCAGGATAATGTTGATTAATTAAATAAACTTCTTTTCCTATTCTTTTCTTTCCATATGTTTATACAGCGACCAGTCTGGGATGCTCAACTTCCTCTCCAGCTTCCACATTTTTCACTGGGAGTTTTACCAGTGCTATTCCAGTGATTTAATTTCACAATGCTCAGTGATTCAAAGCAAATGGGGATCTGTGATCCTTGTGTCCAAAGACCTGTCTGATTCAAGTGAACAGGATATTTCAAAGAGAAGTGATGTTTCAGATTCAAAAATTGCAAAGTCCACCTTTGTAAAAGTTGTTGTTTCACACCTAGCAGAGCTCTGCCCAGGCAGGTGCAACTGGAGCAAGACGGCCCCAGGCTCACTGCTGCTGCTAAGCAACAAACATCACACCTTGTACTTACCATTTTAGACTCTGATTCTTACTTAGGCAGATTACAGGCTTGAAGGGAAGTGTCTGTAACCAGTAATAGGTATCCTGAGGTGTGATTATTATTTGAATGCTGATGACACTTTAGGATGCATAATCTTTACAGTAAAATGAAAGCTGGTAAGTATTGGACATGTTCCAAGCTTTATAAAAGTTTGCTTGCTTTAAAAAAGTTGTATCAAAACTTCCATCAGGGGCCATGGTAGACACAAACACGTGATGATTAATGCCAGTAGTTTCATATAATTGAAAATTCTGTTGTTTTCATAATGACTGCAAAATCATCTACTTTGGAAAATACTTATTCTTAGATAATAGAAATATTAACAAGAGAAGTATTAACAAAGTGCACAGCAGCACAGTGTGATCAGATAGAAGAATTTAACAGAATATAAATACTGTTTCAGTTTGTGATTAGTCATTTTATTTATACACAGTAAATATAAACTCATACAAATTATATTTAAGAAAAATTATATATGGATGCATATATATTTTCAGTTTGTGATTAGTCATTTTATTTATACACAATAAATATATACTCATACAAATTATATTTAAGAAAAATTATATATGGGTGCATCAGATCACTACTTTTTGATTTGGACACCACCAAGACATTCTGTTAAATCTCTCAAATCACTATCAGAAACTCTGAATAATTTTTTCCCTTTGAGTGTTTTGTAATTGCAGTCTCTTCTGGCCACTGTGTCAACAGTGTTATTTCTTGACTTCTTCCCGGTTTGTTTTCCAGCTTCCAACTATGCCAGAAGGTATAGTTTGAAATCAACTTTTCAAGTTGCCCCATGCACATTAATTTTATCTTTTCACATAATTTCTCAAGCCTGTAATAAAAAATTGATCCTATCCTGATAATCCCTAATTTTAGCCACTCATTTTCAATAATTGCATCTCAGTCAAACATATATTTTCTTGCCATTTCTACTTCCTTCACCTGTAACCATGTGTCTAGCCTGTTACTTCCACTGCAAGCTCTCTGAATCAAGCACTGAATTTTTTCACTTTAACACTTTAATAGCAGATTGTTTACTGAGTACAGATAAAAAACAGCAATAATTCTGTATTTTGTTGTGTATTGTTTTGCAATTTTATGTTACAGCATTACTACATAATCAGTCACCTTTCTACTTTCTACCCTTTTTGAAGCAACAGTCTACACTGATAACTGTCTGCAAGGTAAGTACAGACATGAGGGTCATAAAAGGTTCAGCAATTGTGAAAAAAATGGTACTATTCATAACGAATTTCTAGGATTAAAAGGAAGTGAAAAAAAAAACCAGTTTTGATGCAGCCTGAGAGATATGCAGGGTGAGAAGATCTGACTCCAGTTTTGGTGCCTAGGACTTAGTAAGAATGCTCTCCAAGGTGACTCACATTTGACTTGCCATGGTACAAAATGCCCAGTGGCAGCCAGGCAGAGATGAGACACAGGTGAAGAGAAGCCACCTTCCCTGCGCCAGAATGTAATAGGAATCAGAAAAAGGGCAGCACAAACCCACAGATTTCTAACAAGCTCCATACACAAGCCCTCAAACTAACTTTCAGAACAGTCTTTTAATCAGCACTGTGATGAAAAGAAAATACACTCACAGAGCCACAGAATCAATGGGGTTAGAGGGGACCTTTAAAGCCCTTCTAGTCCAACCCTCTTGCAATGAACAGAAACATCTTCAGCTAGATCAGGCTTTTCAATGACCACAAATTAGTGTCTCACAGAGGAGGTGCTGTATCACTCATAAGCAAATTCAGCACAACTGGCACTGTGCACTGGTACATGGAAAGTGACTCTGGATCCAGCATGAAGAGAGTTCTGCGCATCATAGGTCCCAAAGCTGCTCTCTAGTTATATTTCCATACAGCTGTCTAGCTCACCAGTTTCTGCTCTCAAGGACACAAACATGAGCAAGCAACACCCTAGCCCCAAGTGAAATCAGTCCCATGAACCACATTTGTGAAGTGCTAAGATCTCCTGAAAAAGTTTGGACTGCACTTTCAGAGTGTCTTGAAGACTATCTGAGGCTGGAGAACAGCACTTTATAAGAACTGATCCTACTCAAGAGAAGTCCAGCTCCCTGTCACAGGGCCTTGGTCACCTTTTGCCAGACCACAAATTACACACCAAAGGTCCTGCTACTGTGTAATTTTTGTAACTGGAGCACAAATGGTAAACAAAATTATGGTGAGTATCCAAACCAGGTTTTAGAGAGTTCCTTCTATCCCATAGTGGATGACCAAGAGTCAAACACTGTAGAATGCTGTGTATGGAAGGTCCCAAAACCAATCAATTTTCAAATGATACCAAGCTCCAAACAGAAATATCCTATATATTTATTTGATTTATTTTTATTTAAATGAAAATGTCTTCTGTAAACAATAATAGATTGGATTGGGACGAATAAGGAAAACAATAGATTGTCCTTCTCTTGCATGTTACCAGACAGTTGTATGAATTGATTTCTGTTCACTTTATGATTCAAACCCTATTCATTTATTCTACCTCTTGTTCGATTTGTTACACTTGCTTCATTCTCAAAATATGATCTCAAATGGATGGGCTCTTCAGAAGAATGTCACTTTATGCACTAGTTTAATTATTTTTAACTTTAATTTCTGACTGATTCACATTTTAGCATAGCAGACATTTCAATACTCGGATGAAGAAATCCCATTTAAAATTTTTATTTATATAAATAGCTATGGGGGAAAAGATTTAGGATTCACAGTTCTGAATAGGAAAAAAAAAAGAAAGAAAACCAATATTGTTTGAGCAACTGTGTACAGATTTACCACAGTCTAAAAACCTTCAGAAAATTACTTCAGATACAGAACACTGGAAGATTGAGATAGCCTGCCAAAAAAAAAGTGAGTGCATCAGCTGTACTCTAAACAGTAGAAATTCTAATAGTCAAACTGTCAAATTTGAACAATAAGGAACACCTTTTTTATTTAGGAGCTGTTCCTCATAACCAGATTTAATCAAGCCTTCTATCCATTTGCATAATTTCTTCAAAACGCTAGGGATACTGCTTTGCCATTTTTGTATTTTTTTCCTACATTATGAGAATGCTTCTATCAAGTGTGTCTTTACAGTGCTAAATAAGAAATTTTGTTTTCAAGAAAGCATTAAATCTCTTTGTTATCTCTTGGCCTTACTGGCAAAATACAACTTTCTTCTGAGACAATGGGAGTGTGCTCACTTTCATGAAATGTGTTTAGCGGGTGGAACCCAAATCCCAAGTCAAAAGCTGTAAGAGTGCATACAACTACATCACTTTGGGAGATATCTCCCACTTGTTCTGTTACATATTATTTTTAGCAGGAATAGCTGGCTTTTCTGTTGTGCTTCCTTGCCTCCAATGCCTGACTTCTTTGCACATTCTGATACAAATCTGCAAACAGAAGACAGACATCCCCACGCAATGCCTCTTCCCTCTGTCCCGATGCCCTACCAACTTTCTGTTGAATTCTGTGTGTTGAGGACAGAGCATGTTACAGGATGGAACTGAAAACAGGCTGGAACAAAACCAATAGGAAAGAAAGGGTGAAGAGGACTTACTGGTATGTGGTGGGACTGACGTTGATGCGGCGTGGGTGACTTCCTGACTCGAACTTGCTCGCGAGGGTGACGTTGTTCCCAAAGAGGCAATAGCGCGGCATTCTCACACCGACGACGCCGGCCAGCACTGAACCTGAGTGAATGCCTATCCTCATCTGGAAAAACACATGAGATCCACATCAGGCTGCCTCTCCTGGGCCACCAAGGGCAAGGTCATTAGGACTCAGCTACAAGCAACCTTTCAAATAAAGAGTAAACTAAAGAAGAAAGAGTGAAGTGGAAAAAAACCCAGACTCTTCTATTCCTCTAGCTTAGATCAGATGCAGTTAAAAGAAACAACAAAAAGATTATCACCTTTTCACTAAAAACATTTTCTTCTGCACATTTGCTGAAGACTGTGACAGTCAAAATAGAGATCATGAACAGAATAGGTTGGGATCATCCAGAGCTACTGCAACAGCAGCCATCTAATTACACAAATAAATACATTACAGAGGTTATTTTTGCCACCACTTCTAGCACAGGCTTTGAAGTAATAGCCAGTTTTTCTCAAACTGGCAGGGAGAGTAGTTAAGTTTTATCTCCTCCATATTTTTCTTCCAAACTCTTCAGGGTCTAAGGTCTTTATCACTTTGTCAGAAAGAGAGATATTGCAGTGGTGAGAATGCTGAAGACTGAGGCACCAATGATTTTAAAGGTAATTGTATCCTCCTCAAAATAAGGAGGAATAAATCCCCAGCAAATTAAAAAACACATGCGACTATTTCAGCAATCATTCCCTGTAACTGTCTGAGATCTGGCAATTGCATAGACCTGTACAGCTCAGAGTCACCATCCAAGTTTTCTTCAGAATGAATAATCAGAGATTTATTCTGCATACATTTTAGCTAACAATTGTGTTTGCCAAGAAAATGATTTTTACAGATAGGGAAGTCTTTTTCTCTTGTTAACTTTAAAACAGTTAAAAATTAAAAGAAGATATTTATATCTTCTGAGGATACTCTTGCTCATAGCAACTGGACTGCTGAAAAACTTAAGGTGAAGGAAATGAATAGCAGCTACTAAGAGGGTCTGATGGGGTATGAATGAGTGACTTACCTAACACTGTACTCAATATGGTCCTTTTACTTACTTAATTCACAGTTATTGCACTGTCCTTTTGTCCATCAGTCCCTATTTTTTTTAATAAAAAATACATATGGACTCAAATACACATTTAAAAAAAAATCATTGTTACTCCTTTTGTATGTAAAGAAAATGCCAGCATTTGATAACATTGGTGTCCATGAAGTTCTAAGAACATGTGGGACCCCACATTATTTCACTGACTATGGTTCTTCCCACATGCCCAAGACTTCTATCATGCAGCTAAGCACTCTTCTAATTTTGTTCCTCTCTTATGTGTCACAGACAATGGGTTCAGAATTATATCTGCTATACAGTAAACTCCTGCATAATCTAAGGATGTGTTCTGCATTTGATACTACTTACAACATTCTCACAGGCAACCTAAAACCCTCAATCTTCACAAGACTGTTAATTACAGACTAGGTAGTTTGGTTTGTTTGTTTCTCTCTCCTTCTTTCCTCTTTTTTAAATCTGTGAATAACAATCACTTTAGTGATTCTTTAAGTTTAAAAGTTCACTTTAATTGAACTTTCACACCTTTACTATGGTTTGGAAGGCAGACACAGAAATCCTTCAAATCCTCTCTTCCATAGGGCTGGGAAGCATCCACCAACTTAGTTTGCCTGCTAACGTTTGTGCAAATTCATAACACTTGGGTTATTTTGGTCATCTTTTGGAGCAATAAGATTTCCTGCTTTTGCTACAACATACATTTAAACTCCACTGTCCATTACCAGTGGAAAAAAGTGCTCCTGCAGTCATGAATTGGGTAAACAGCTGTTCTCCCTGTAAGTGAGGTCAGTACCTGCCCTCAATGAAAGACTATGGGCAGGAAGTCTTGCTCACACAACAATGAGCATGCTTTCAATAAATAATAAACAACCTATTTACAATGTCTTGTTCTTGTGAGATGGGAGGTGACTTAGTCATTTTGCACACAATTTTAGGAACAGAGCTAATGAAACCCATTTGTTCCTTTGCTACTTTGCATGTTTATTTAAAAATCACAAATTAACTGTGTGCTTGACCTCTTCCACAGTACATTCAATCATGTAAAGGCCAGATTGAAACTGTAAGGAAAAGTATTAGCTTTGTTTTCCTCTAAAAACACAGGAATAAGAGTATACATTAGAGTGGATGGAAAATATAACAGTAAAAAACATACTAAGAAAATAAAATTTGCTTTTGCAATATACGCAGTGAAAGCTGAAGTTGTTGTTGGTTGTTTTGTTACTTTCATTCTTTCCTTTTCATTGCTTCCTTTTATATGGCCATACAGTTTTTATTACTCAGTGCTTCAACCCTCATACATGAGGGTTCTTCTGTACTATCTAAAAGAGATTTTTAAAAACACTTGCTCCTACAATGAAAAAGGTAGATACAGTTTCACAAACACAGGTTAAACTGCATAGAGAGAGTCAAAAGCTGAAGTTTTCATTTGTTGGAAGAAAGTTGCTGTAGGCTTTCTCAATAAAACTTAGACATAAATTACACTAAGAATGCCTTACAATAAAGCTCCACATCTGCTTTATTATATAGCTCTCTACAAGAAAAGAGCCTGCAAACACTGATGCTCTTGCCATAAAGTGTGCCTTATTATACCAAAAATAACCAATATATTGGTCCTATAGTACTTTTTAGAGAAATATGTTTACTTAAAAGTGTCTTTTCAAGATTTTACTTCATTTGCAGATTCGTTGTTCTGGTCTTTTCCTCACAGAGTTGAAAACTGTTGTGTTAACAGCTTCAGGCTCTTTTTTACAAAGGAAAAAAAATGTGATCAAATTATTAACAAGATGGCACTTACTGGGGCACATCAACCTTTCACATTACCTTTGCAGCAAAGAAAATCTGCCTAGACCACATAACTTAGAACAATACCAACAACAGTTACACAAATAAAGTTACAGTTCCCAGGCTATATTGTACATGTAGCCCTTATCAGCACTCTCTCAGAACAGTCACCATTAAATATTAAAAATAGCACAGAAAGTGAAAATGAGGTGACAACACTAGGATGCAATTTTTGTCTATCATAACTCTGTTTATTCCTTTAAATAGATGTGTACTACAAATTATACATTTATTAACTGTTTTAAATGGAGCATTTTTAATAAAATGCATGGTTTTCATCTGTACCAACTGCTCCTTTGTATGTCCTTAATTATTTGGCTAAGGATAATAGGGAAGTCTTAGCTGAACCAAATTCAGATGCATTATGCACACAAATGGAAAGGTGACTCTTTGGAAACTATCACAAAGAGAAGACAGCTGTGAAAAAAAACAACCAGTAAATACCATTCCTCCAAGAGGTAAGGAACAGTGAAGAGACCCACAAAAGCCAACAACATTTCTAAAGCATTATCCTGGAAGGCACAATGGCAAAACAGACATGAACAGGTGAGAAAAATACTGAGAGAATTGTGAGAGATCTTTTAGATGAAGAGGGACAACTTGAACTGAGTGCAATGAAAAACAAGAAAAAAGATTAACAGATCTGATCTCTGCAAGAGCTGTGGTAATAGTGAAGTGGAGAAAAGCTGATGAGTCAGAGGTGTAAAAGAAAAGCAGCCTGCATTGATCAATGCAATGTGAGAGGAAAGACGTGGCTATGTGCGAAGAAAAAGAAGCTTCCAAAGCTTGTATTAAGAAAGTAGCAGTATTTGAATATTTCTTACTGGATAAGACACAAAGAGCAGAAATGTCTAATACCTGAGTGACCAGAAGGATAGTGATTTTGTTTAGTGGAGATAAAGAAGAAGATTCATAAAGAAAGATGAGAAAGATGAGAAGCATTGGTCACCATCTAAAATGACCAGTGGAAATGTGCCAGAAGTGGTATCAGTGAGAGCTGATAGTGCAGACTAGACTGCAAGAGGAAAGTCAAGAACAAAAAAGAACAAGGATGAACAACACAAAAATATTTGTTCTTTTTCTGAATTGAACATTCTGTTACTGAATTCTTCTGATGTCCAAATCTTAAAAAAATATATGTTACTTCTTTACACCTCCTCAGTGCCAAAGCATGATTTTCTTCTTTTATATCTAGAAGAGCTGGGGTTTTTGCTTTGTTTAGTTTTGTTTCTTTTTTATCTGCTCTTCAATTTCAATTACTTGCAATTGCCTGAATACCTTCTTAGGCACGATACTGAAAATTGCACTCTTACATCAAAATAAAGCCCATTCCAACTGAGATGAGAGTAAATGCAACACTGAAAATTCACAACCCATCGAAAATTAACTTTATAGGCAAGTGGCAAAAATATTTTAATAACAGTAAATTAATGCAGTGGCATGCCTGAAGTAAATTTCATCATTGCTAATTTGCTTCTTAATAGCTTTTTCTGTTAATCAGTACTCTCAAAAAAAAAAAAAAAAAAAGAAAAATCCAGTCATTTTCATTATGGTCAGAGCTCTTGAGTTTTTTCTCTTTTGAAACCTTTTTGAAAAATGTATTCTCCTTCCTCTTTCCTTATTTTTCCACATAGTTTTCAAGACAAAAATTAGATGCAAGTGGAAAGACAGTCTGAGAAATAGCACTTGTCTACCAAAGAATGTTTTTGAAAACCTCCTCAAATCTAAAATTCTTTGACCAATATATGTTTGCATATTGATAAGCAATAGAATACATTAATATTAATTAGATCACAGAGAAATGGTTCAAGCTTAATGATTTCTGAAAGGAAAATTAAGCAGGTTTCAAATTATTCCTCAAGCTTCATATGTACATGGTGCTTTGCAAAAATATTTGCAATTTTCGTTATGGGCTTACAAATCTATTTTAAAAAGCATAATTCACGCTTAATTCAGAAAAAAAGACTAATAGGCAATAGCATGGAAAATTGCATAGGGGTATGACTGTGAAGAATGATTACTGAGCTGAAAAGGACTGCAAATATTTTTGCATAGCACCATGTACATAAGAAGCTTGAGGAATAGTTTAAAATCAGCCTAAATTTCCTTTCAGGAAACATTACAGCTTGAACCATTTTTCTGTGGTCTAATTAATAAAGGGATTGTTGAATAA